AACCCAAATCAGTTAAGTCTGATACTACATTCAACCAGGTTTATCTGAAACCAGTTTCAGCCATTTTGAAACTGGTTTATGGGCACCAAACATATGTTCTGTTACAGGTTTAAACCAGTTTCTGATCACTTAAACCAGTTATGTGTAATTTCTGTCCCTAGCCAGGGACAGTATGCCTGGGCTCTCCACATATTTTTAACTCTTCTTGCTTGGGTTTACTTTCTAATCATCATTTCTAAACTCCTCAAGACTAATATACTAATACCAGACAACCTTTCCCTTTGGCCACCTGCTCCCCGTAGGTGAGGCCTCACAGGTAAAAGCACATCAGTCTCTGGAAATGTGGGCCCAAGCCTGAAGCAGATCTGAGAAGACTGCTAAAAAATTTGCCTGAATGCAGGAAAACATTTTGTTTAAAAACTATGCTGTAGCCTGGACATGCTTTGTCTGGAAGGAGCAAACTCGGCTCACTGATGACTCCTCAGGCTGGGTCTGAAGGCAACTATAACTAGAGTATTTTCTCTATTGAACGTCCAGCTTGTGGAATCTCTTAAGGCCCCAAAGAGCTACTAAGTGTTAATGGTAAACCCTGCAATGCTTAACCCTCTGTTTCCTAAGAACATGTGAACACTAACTTCTGTTCAGTTACCCAATGGGTAATTCCTTCAGGAGGCAGTACATCTGCCTGCTCCTAGAGTTCATAAACCTCTTCCTTCACATTTAACCATATCTGCCATACTGCATGACCCTCTTCCTGCTGGAAGTGTTTATTTCTTCATTGCCTAAAACAATGCTTATGAAGGTAAAGTGAGATATAAACCAACCTCCATTAAATTTCCACAAAGCAGTAAAAAAACAGAGGAAACTCCCAGAGAAAAATATAATTAATATAGGTAGGACAGTACCTGCAAATACACACACTAATGTAAAACCATATTAATAATGTTAAAAGAATGCACATTGGTTGAATACCTGGAAATTCAGAGCTAAGATTTCACTAAAGACGTAACTCTTCCCTAATATCTTTGTCCATGCATAAACTATGCACAAGAAAACCTTGTAGTCAGAGTTACCATACTTCATCTACTACTTCTCTCACCTAATATCTGCTATTGCCCTTTGTCCAGTTCACTCACAGATTTGGCAGAAGCATATCATCACTCACCTTACCCCTCTGCTATTCCATTACAAGTCAGAAGTTTCATCCTGTTTCTTTTACCCTCTCTGCAAGACAAGGACTACTGTTGGGTTTCTTTCAGCCCACCAAAGAAGCCTCACTGGCACTTTACCTTGTCCACACTACAAAGGCTGTCCATTCTTAACCCAAGGAATGCCACTGCCAATTTATAGCTAGATATGTGCCTGTAAGGTTAAACTTTTATTTTTATGCTTTAATTTCTAGCCAATCGGCTACCACTGATAGAATATTAATCTAGACCTCTTATAACCTTTCTCCTTATTGCTTGGACAGGGAAGGCAGAGACAAGGTCAGCATGGAAACTGTTTAACTCTGAACTTCCTTGCTTTCATCTGTTTGTTCACATTGCCTGATGATGGGATTCCTTTAAGTTTTAGAGCAGCCATTTAATATCTAGAGCAGACTCTTTATATGAATGGTTTTCTCCAGGAATAGTTAAAATCATTCAAGAAGAAAGTTCCTGGAACAGCAGTTTGTGTATCCCAGTTGATTTAGTGCAATCTCATTGATGCTTGGAGCCTGCAGGACAGCATGGCAGCCAGGCAGGCAAGAAGAATCATTGTTCCTGCAAAATTTGTCAGGATGACCTCAGGTTTGTGTATTTAGATTTGGCAAAGTAGACAAAATAAACACACACACACAAATATGCATCTCTTACTCCTAGGAAATGGAAGGAGAAAATTTCTGTGCCTGCAAGATGTTGGGATTGCTGACACACTAACTATTCTCCATGTTGAGAATAGACTGAAATACCGCTGGCGGGTATCTGTTTAAATCTGTTACTGTAAATTGCCCTGAACTGTTTTGGGAAGGATGGCATATACATCACAGAAATAAATTAAAGAAATAAAATGTCAGACCTGATTCAGTTTACTCAAATTCTACTGTTTGTTGTACTACACCGTGATTGTTCCTGCCTGTATGCACTATACACTTGTGCTGAGCCTTTCCCCTGCCAGTAGCTGGAAAAAGAAGGAAAAGAGAGAAAGTTGCCATGCATACTTTGGGTGAAGGACTCAGGGGAAGATTACCAGGGACTGACCTGAGAAACCACTGATTAGTGTAGTTTCTAGCAGTTGAGAACTGCCTGCAGAAACTCATTTTCTTTTTCATTCCCACTAAAGATAACAAAATGGGAAATACTGACTAGGTGAGATGGATCATCACTAGGTCAGAATGGTTCAAATCTCTCTAGAAGTAAGGATTTATATGTCTGCACCATCTTCTTGCCACCTCTTTTCACCATTTTGAATTGCTATGGGATATAGTGATTAAAAGGTTTCTAGTAGGAAGAATCAAGTCAGACAAGTAACATGTTTCTGTCATTGATTTATACTCTACTGCCCACCCTTCAGTTCAAGAAACTCAGACTACACAGACAGCAAGTATTCACTTATACTGCTGCCTCATCCCTTGGGACTATCAACACAAAATCAAACAAAAAGAATATGTACTATTTGTGAGTCATTGAAAACACTTAGTCCCTCCAAAACTGAGAAAGTGATCAGAGCTTTACACCTGACTTGTGTCTCATTGGAACCATTGCCAAAGTAACAGGGTGCCCTGAAACGTAACCTTTAGCACATGATTCTCTCTGGCCTTGTACCTTGTGGGTCTGATTCCCATTGGCCTATCCCTGGTGTGTCATTTACATGGGTGTAAACCAGGCTCTCTGTGCCAATTAGGCCTAAAGAAAGTGAATGGAATAGTAAAGCAGATCAGAATACTGTATTTCTTGACATCAGTACAAGCAATTTTATACCCATTTATACTGATCTTGCACACATATAAATGATGACAGAAAAGAGAATCGGGCCCATATGCTGTTTTACGTAGCATGGGGAGTTAGGTCTTTTCAGCCATATTTACTTAGGCTCATCTTCTTTATTCCGCATTGTGTAACAATCTGCCACAAACTCAAGACAGACTCCCTGTCTGTAGGCTTTCCTCCACTTCTGCTGATGTCCTGCCTCTCCTTTCCCCACCACAGATGTGTCAAAAATTGGGATTGGGATGAATGATCCCTAGAGATACACATCCACACAAGTGGGAGTTTGGAAAGGTTGCAGCAAAACAGGCAAAATATTGTAAAATCAGCATCATATTTTTCAACAGCCAAGGCACAAGAAATGGCAGTAGACCTAGGAACAAGAGCTATAAATTAGAGACTGCCCCATAAATTGAGTGATTGGATAATACTGAAAGGCACATGAATTTATGGCTGGGAAGACCCTCAAAATTTATTTTTAGTGAATAATCATTTGACAAATGCATTTTGAAATCTCACTGTCAGTTCTGTTATAAAATCCACTAACAAATACCCCAAAATTAATATAAAAAAAAATGGTTCATTTGAAAAGAATGTGGTGACACAGAACACATCCACATCCCTCTCTCTTCAGAAAGGTGGCAGTGTTGCTTTGTAGTTACTGAATGCATAGCTAGGGACTAAGAATTATTTCAAATGAGCTGCAATGTACCATAATATACCAACAAAAACTAAGGAATGACTTAATCTAATGAAATGTAAGATCACAGTGATATGGAAACCACACCAAAGCTCTGGACCCAATTATTGTATAACTCAGGCAGACTGGGACCCTTGTGTTTGCGCACACACACACACTTGGGTTTTCAACGAACTGCCAAGTTTGTATTTGCTTAGAAAACAAAGTTTAAATTGACCACCCAGATATCTAAGAGATCCTGATAATACTACTTATGTCTAGCATCAGTTTCATAAACCTCTGATCTTATTATCTGCATTGCGCAGAGACAAAACACACATGGAGTGGGTGTCTTTCTGAAATCACGTTCTTGTGTGACCATACCATCAAGCTTTACAACACATATATGATACATGCAGTCAGAGTTTGTCTAGGCATTCATAAAAGATAGAGAACTTCACCTCTGACAGCAAAAACAAATGCTCAAATACACTTCTATCATTATTGTTATTACATTATCTAAAGTCAATTAAACAAATAAGAGTAAGGCACCCCCCCAACCTGTACATGCACACATGTATCCTATTTACAATAAACATAAAAATGTGACTCAAGGTACTAATATCCAACAGAGGGGCTGTTTTAGAAGTTACCATCCCACAATTCACCTTCACTCACCTTCACTCACGCTGAATATCCTCTGAGAAGCCCTTTATTAGGACTTCTACTAATTCACAAGAGTGGAACATGTTTTTACTTGCAAACCCTCTGAAAGCAGCAATTGGTTCTGTGGCTCTGGTTTTATTTCTCTGATGATGTCACTTTAAATATTTTTCATGTTCCATTTGTTATTTTTGCTTCTAAAAATGACGCATTTCTGCAAATTCATTTTTTTCCAATTAGTCACAACTTAATGGAACAAAGTCAGCAGCCTGGATGTCAGAGTAAATGTCAGGGCCGTCTTCTCTGCCACTCCCAGATATACACACTGTATTACACCTGGATATAGGGATGGGATTAGGTATGTTGTTTTTCACCACTGTCCTTTTGGATTTTTGCCCCAAGCCTTTGCAAGAAAGAGTAGGGTAAAGGAGCAGGGAATCATAGTTTCACTATCATAAACCACAGACAAACTGAAAAGCAATGAAAAAGCAGTAAAATAAATTACAGAAAGGAAGGAAAATGCATTTCTTCATTTACAGAATAGCCTCTGTGAGAGCAAAGCCATGACAGCTTTATGACTCCCTTATTATCTTACTTGCATGCTGCTTCCAAACATTTAATGAAAAACAGCCTATGGCTAAGACTTGCAGGAGAGGAAAGTTTTAGGAGAAATTCTTGATGCTCAGCCCTACCTGATCTGAACTTGCTCCGAATCAGCAAAGAATGCTCAGTACCAAGAAGTGTCATGGTGATTCTCTGTGAACCGTTCCAGAAGCCCCCTCACTTAAACCATTAACTTGCTCCAAGGAGACAAGCAGACCACAGTTAGTGAACCAGAATTCATCCGACCCTCCTGGAGTCTCTGGGTGCTTTTATAGCTGGGTTTGCAGAAAGCAGCAAGTGACTTTAAAAGTTTTGGTCCCATCCAGCACTGACCCTCCACAGAAACCAACTGCTCCCCCCAAGTTCTGTGTTGAACTAATTAACTTTTAGCTAGCAGGACCCTCCTCATGCTCTGAGTTTACTATCAGCAGCATCACTGGGTGTCCTGGCTGATGTCATGGTCTAGCAGGGAGAAGCGACTATCAGTAACAGGGTCTTAGGAAAGTCAGAAGTTTGATATCTGATCCTTATTACTACCAACAGGAACTCAGCCAATCAGGAGGCTCCCTGTCTCAGACAGCTGGTTTCAGAGCAGTTCTGAAATACCAACAGACCTAGTGTTTAACTCTTTCAAGCACGGGGAGATGTAGCCACTGGGAATTCTAAGCAGTAGGATTTGTTACTAAAAACACACTTCTCTTTCTAGGACTTTGAGGCCAAAGTACACAGCTGCCTCTACCTCTACATGCCTGGAGGGCAGGGTGTGATATTTGTTTATTGTACTGTACTTTTATGCACTCTGGTGTGCAGAATTTGTGGGTTCTTTCCTCCAAGGAGTCAAAAGATATCTAGATTGCAGCTGAAGGTCTGATCACAGCAAGGGTAGGGCTACTTGTACATCCCTGGGTCCCTGGGATGTACTCAGCAAATACAGTTTACAGTGCCATCACATCTTCACTGCTATGGAGTTAGCAGGGGTATGCCTAGCTGTGCTGGAATCATACCCCTAATTGTTGCGTAGGCATACCAAGGTATCGCTATGAGGGTGCATGTCCCCTGAATCTGATTCCATTTACTTTCTTTTTGACGTGCTGATGGACTGTGCCATACAGTCACTTTGTGCCATATTACTTTACAGATGAATCATAAATAAGCTAAACTGTCCAAAAATAGAAACAGTTTTTGAAGTAACACAATGCCCTAAGTGTGTGGCCATGTTACACATCAGGCAAACATTTTTGATTAAAAAGATCATATGATCATACTCTTTTTGTTTTGCCCTCACCATGCAGGAACATGACACAGCATGCAGGCAGAAATGGCTTCAGTAGAAACTCCTGACAGTGATACAGAGCCATACTGATATTTCCCCAACTCCATGCTATTACATCTCAGAGCTGGCAGTGCTTTGCAAATATGAGAGAGAGAAATTTTTCACTAAATTTCCCTGGCCAAAACAAGGGCTAGTTTAAGGAGAAATATAAAGGCAAGTAGAAGCTCTTGCCAGGTAAGGCTGGTTAGCAATCTTCTGATGCAATATTTTTCAAATGGAAAATATAAATTAGTGGAGAACAATATCAATTAGCGGAGAACAATATGCTTAATAGAAATGGGATGATTTTGGCAAATCATATGACAGATCATAGTTTTCAACTGAAATTTTCCACTGTCCCGGGAGTCAAAATAACGAGCAACACTTACTGGCAGCTCGGGATGGGACGTGCGTGGGGCAGAAGGAGGAACCTGTGCGGCTCGTTAGCCGCCTTTTTGTGCAATTACGTCCGGCTGGTGATGTCAGCGTCGGATGCCGGCCGGCAGAGATAAAAATGGTGGCAGCTGCTGCGGAGGAGACGGATATCCGAGGGATGAAGCCACGGCTGATGCCTGCAGCAGGGAAGACCCCACACCCGGGACCCGGAGAGCCTGACAAGCAGGAGCAGATGCAGGCTGTGGAGAGGGGAGTACCCCGCCAAAAGCCCACGCCGGATAACAAGGGAGTGACAGGTTTGCCAGCCAGAAGCGGAGCTGAAGCGGCACCTGGAAGCCATGTGGAACCCAGGTGGGAGTGCCGGGATGACGGGGCATGGAGGAAGGCACGACAGGGGATGAAGACCCCAGGAAAGCCCTGAAGGGGTTTGTGGTTGGGGCGGGTATTGCCGCTGGGTTCCACCGGATTGAGGAACAGGTGGGAGTGGATCCGGGAAGTGACAGGTCAAGAGCAAAGAAGCCCCTCCACGTTAGGCTCTGAGGAAAGGGAGAGTAAGTGGTAGGGAATAGCTCACCGGTCGGTTTTGGGTTAATGTATTTATTTTTTGTTACCCCGGGTGAAGGGGCATAGGAGATATGGACAGGTGCCCAAGGGGCAGGGCTCCACTCCTCATGGTTGTATGTACCCTTGAAGGAAGGGCCAGAGGTGTAAAGGGTTGTGTGGTAGGCCCACATGGGCAAGCAGGGCCTTAAGTCGCTGGCTTCGAGATGCAACAGCGGAGAGGGTGACCCCGCGAGTAAAGGCCGCGGATATTGGCTGGACGGCACACTGGAGGAGGGGTGAGGCCAGGGTGTCGGGGTGGCAGAGCCCCGTGAGCAACCACCGGGCAAACCCCGGGCCACTGACTATCTTGTCAACAGACCCCGCCTACTGAGGAACACCAAGTTGTGGCAGGCGAGAATGGGGTTGGCGATGCGGGAAGGCAAGCACTACTCCGGCAACAACATGAACCCGGGAGGTGCTTGACATCCACCAGTAGAGCAAAGGCCACTCGAGAGTGGTTATTTGAAGCCCGGTGGTCACATCCACATAGGCAGGTCTTAGTTGGAAACCTGTCTGTTTTCTGTACACTCCGCAGTAACAGGTTATCCCACCTGGAAGACTTTTTGTGGGTTAGAATACAGGGCTTTCAATTACCATGGCTTGTAGGCAGCCCCATTATATGGACTGCCCTAAAGTCAGGGAACCCAGGATCTGTGGTTCTGGGTCAGCCACACAGACTATGACTGTGGGGCCAGGGAAATTATGGGTTCCAGTCATCTAGGCTAGCTGACTTTTTGGGCCACCCAGCTCCTGAATCTGTCAAGGTAGCTAGTTGTTGATGTGGTTGAGGAGAAAGTGCATATGGCAGCTTTGAGGCCCCTGTCCATCTGAGAGTTAGCATGAAGAGATGGCAGTGGACCCTCTGTCACAGTATGGGGTACCTAAGGCTGGCCGTGATGCCCCTAGGGCTCCGTGACTGTGTCAATTCTGTCTTGCAGGTGCTTTCTTTTCTCTTCTGCCACGTCTTGTTGGTATAAATAATAAATAGGGAGGCTTCCCACAGGTTTCTGCATGGCCCTGGTCCTGTTGGACCCCACTAAACCCTACAGATTCTTGGACCCCTTGCTGGGTCCCACTTTAAGTTGATGCCTCACAAGACACCCCAAGACTTATGGGGTAGATCCATGTCTCCAAAACCTCCCCTTTACCATGCCCCATGCTCCGCAGATGGTACATAAATATTATCTCCCTAATAAGGTCTTGGCCTAACTGGGCTTCCTGTGGTCACTTGGCTCTGTGACCCCTGTTGCTGTGCTCCTCTGGACCTGGGCTTTGTGGCCCCTGTTGTTGTGTCCTTCCTGGCACTGGGATCTCTGCAGCCCTCTTTAGTGTGTAATAGTGTGCCCCAATGAGGCCTCCTCCTCCCCTGTTAGCCTCATCCTGGTCCACTGGTGCAAATAACAACATAAATATAAGACCCTGGGTTACAACATAACACTAACACTGGAGGCTACACTCTGCCCCTTTAAGAAGGCAAGCTTCTCCCTCAGTATTGTGTGCCTCCTAGCCCTGGGTGTCTTAAGAGCTCCTGGAACCCCATTAGTTTTACAAGCAGCAGATCAGGTCTGGGGCTCTGGCCTTAAAATCTACAAATCTATGAATCTGTTTTAAACCTTTCAACAGTTTTCTCCAAACCAGTGCCATTTAAGTCCTATGATTTCTGTGCTCTACTCTAGAGCTGCCATTGTCAAACATTCCTTGGTACTGCTGTGCCCACAAGTTATATTGGAACTGATTCAGCAAGCAACTAAAATCTCTCTGCTCCAGGAAGGATTCCTTGGCATCTGTAGGCTAAAATTGCACGTATTTGCTGCATTATTACATCATAAATATGAATCCAGTTTGCTGCCTCCTGTCATCACAGACTTTAATCACCTATCACTCCTGCCTAGCTTTCTTCTTCCCAAACACATGACATTATTTCTCCCTATTAGCTGCATTTTCCCAAACTGAACTCTGTATCAATTTGTGCTGCTCATACTGATCCCCTGTTTATGTTTATTTGGACCCTGCTCTCCTCAAGGGAGGCATCATTGATTTGTTTCAGACAATCAGTGACATGCATTTATGGAAATGCATCTACCACCAAAAATGTGAGAGCTACATGGCATAACTATTCAAATAAGTCATTTTCTTTCTGCAGGAATGGGCTCTACTTCTTGGGCTCACTTCTTCCTGCTTGTGAGAAAAGGGTCATTCAATATTTCATTATTGTTAGTGCCAGTCAAGCGCTGCCAGTTGGGGTGATGGGTGTGAATGTTAGTTTATAAAAGGTCCTATCAGCCACTGGATTCATGTGACCCTGGTCAGAGTAAGTCTTGCCAGTACAGCAGTAAAAATGTCATGAGCCAGCAAGGGTTCTTCTGTGCAAGCATTTCCCCTCTATCCTTCACTGTGGGTCTTCTAAAGGGTTTGCAATGGTGAGAACATTTCAGAAAGCAGGCTAGTGTAGACAAGACCTATAAAGGGGTAGTTCAGACTTATCTGGAAAGTGTAGATAAGACCTGTAGCAAGATAATTCAGACTTGTCTGGGAAAAAGAAGGCCAGAAGGGAAGCCAGAGCATGCTGGTTTGAGCCATAAAGAATCCCTTCGGTAGGAATTCTGCAGTCATATGAATCCCTGAGAGCTAGGGAGAGAAATGCTGCCTCTGAAGGCCAGGAGTAGTTGAGGTGTAGTCATTAAACAGCTGATATGGGAACAGAGGGGAAATGACATAAAGTAAGGAGCAGGTGGGTATCAGAGGAGAAAAGGAACAGAGAATGGATGAGGTTCAGCATTATGGCATTACAGAGGCATCATACAGAGGGAATGAGATACTTCAGGTGTTTTGATGGGGTCAAACTCAGTGGTTGAATTTCATGGGGGTTGTAGCTCCCAGTCCTGTATCTAATTACTAGGGGTTGTGCAGTTTCTGTCAGATGAATATCCAAGTGACAAGCACATAGTATAAGTACTGTTGTAGAACTAGGTGCAGCCAGCTTTATAATAGCCCAATAAACATGCACATAATCCCACTCCTACTTGCTAGCATGGACTTGGAGGTTAGTGACATGATGTCCTGGGTCAGACTGTAACCACCAGGGTTGGGCTTGGCTCAGTCCAGCTACTAAATCTATTTGCAGATGTTGAAGGTTTCCTTAGATGGTTACACAAATTTCCATTCAGAACA